CGAAATGTCCAATTGTTGAGAACGACGGTGAACTGATGTTGATGGCGTTTCACGCACACTTTCGGCCACAGCAGCAATATTCTCGGGTGTACGCACTGTTTTTGGCTTTTCACGCGTTGGTTTATCTTTGCTTCATTTCTTCCAAAATCCGTACGCAATTTTCGCACACATTCTGCAACATTACCATGATTTTCAAAGTAATGTCGCAATATTTCCCAGCGTTGTTCAAGCGTATACACAACAAAAAAAGTTAGATGGCGGACCCTTTACATTTTATCTGTATGTACTTTGCAAATCGTGTAACGTTGCGTTATGTTTCAACCTAGAGCAAGATTGCTGCTACTTACAGTACCATTCGTAAATGAATTGTACTGTAGATACAGTAAATCCAACAAGTACCAGGAGCCTTTTAAAGAAATGAGTACCTATGTTATATATTTATTCAATTTTATACTTATGTCCATCCATCCATTTAGTTTTTATTGTTGCCTAGCTATAATTTCTTCAGCTAATTATTTCAGACTATCATCGTCGAAATTGTTAAGTTAGTTAAGTTACACAGCCTATTTCCGTCCCACTGCTGGGCCTTCCCTCACTTCTGAAAGGGTTTTAGGGCAAAGAAGTGTCCGCGCGCTGCCCATATGCGTGTTGGCGAACTGCACATGCCTTGGAAATATTTTTTTTATTTCTCAGACAGTCAGACTTCCCCATGATGTTTTCCTTCACCGCCGAGCAAGAGGTAAATCAGCACTTAAAATTGCAATTAATAATTTCATTGATGCCGGCGGGGATCGAACCCAGTGTGCTAGCGTACTGTAAAATTTAACGCGAGAGCTAACAATCTGAGCTACCAGGGCTCTCTCATCGTCGAAACGAATACTTAGAGTTAAGTTACAGCCTTTTTACGCCCCACAGCTGGGCAAAGGCATCCCCTTATTTCTCAGAGGGTCTTAGGGCAAAGAAGTTTCCGTCGCGCTGCCCCAATGCATGTTGGCGAACTTCACATGAACATCGAAATATTTTTTCTTATTTCACAGACGTGCAGGTTTCCTCTCAATGTCTTTCTTCACCGCCGAGCACGTGGTAGATCAGCACTTAAAATTGCAATAAACAATTTCATTATTGCTAGCGGAGATCGAACCCGGCTTGCTAGCGTACTGTGAAATTTACAGCGAGAGCTAGCCATCTGAGCTACCACGGCTCTTCTGAGCCACCACAGCTCCCATCGTTGAAATGAATACACCTCTTTATTTTGTATGTTTTTTTTTCTATATAATAGGGTGAAAAACGAGCACGCAGTCCACCTGTGTTGGTTGCTGCGGCCCATAGATATCTACATCTATCCTCGATTACGAATCAAAATGCAGATGCGTTGTCACCTGTGAGGACTAAGATGGAACGCCTCGTTTCCAGTAAAAAGGCTCTCCGGCTCTCGAATTTCATGTCGTTCAAAACCTTAATTTAAATAATGACGGTATTATCGGCAACGACCTTCTTAAAGACTTCCAATGCCAAATCAATTATTCCCAAGGAGTACTACAAATAGGTTCTAATTTATTTAAACTAAACTTTTCCGAACCAGTGTATATAATTCCTCCTCGCACTGAGACTGTAATCGAATATACAGTCAGTAATCCAGAAGCTCACGAAGTAATGATCCTAGATCAACACATCTCTGATTTACTATTAATTGCAAATTGCTTAGTCAAAATAAAAGAAAACGAGTACGTCAATATTACAGTAATAAAATACCTGTAATAATCCATCCAAAACTTTATTTAGAAATAGAACCCATACAGCCTCAAAATATCATAGTCTTTTCCAAACCATCATTCTCCAACGTACAATGTACTCTTCACCGTGGGCGTACGTTAATTATGGACAATTTCTACAATATCCATTGCGCATTAGCGCGATGTCTGAAACGACAAAACACTGATTGCTTTGGTATGCTAAGACTGAATCGGAAAATTGTTCCTGATTCATTGAAGACTATAACGAAGACTGAACTTGACAAGGTGAAGTAGTGTACACAGTTCCGATTTGTCGATATGTACATGGCGAGATGCTAACATCGATAGCCTGATCTCGACATATCACCATCTTCAAATCGGGACTCGACAAAAATATAACAGCGTAGACCTATAGTATTTAGTTGACTAATAAAATAGGTATCATTCGGAGAAACGGCTGTTTGATTTCGGAAATAATTAGCAGTAACTTTTCTATCCAGTTCCAGCGCATAGTTAGATAGTTAAACAGTCAGTTTGTAATCTGAATGTAACCATAGAGTATTAATTAACGGTTTATACGATAAACAGTATTTTTTCTAATTCAAGTAACATCTTTCTAAAAACTTCTTATATTGCTTAAATATTTAAAAAATCATCTAAAAATACATATCTAAATTATCACTACTCAGAAGCTATAGACAAAATACATAGCTTTGACACTGGTCTCTTAATTTTAGCATTCTTACATCTAAGAGTAACTACTCTAGTTATATGGCCTGGACAAGGGTGCTTCTCTTCAATTATACCTAATAACCATTTGGATGGAGGGAGATCATCTTTCTTAACCAAAACAACATCTGCACACTTAGGTTCCTGCTTGACTTTATTCCACTTATATTTTTGACACAACGTAGTCAAATATTCTTGCGACCATTTTCGTCAGAAGTGATGCACAAGCTTCTGTGTGAGCTGCCATCCGCGTAAACTGCCGACATCATTGTCTTCAAAATTGTAATCTGGTGCAGTAACTAAAGCTTAACCAACCAGACAGTGACCGGGTGTCAGAGGCATAGTATCACCGTGACTAGAAGGGATCTGATACAAAGGTATAAAATTCAAGCATGCTTCGACTTGCGTCAGAACCGTTTAAGTTCTTCGTATGTGAGTGTCGTTCCGTCTAGTACACGATGCAAATGAGTCTTTGTTAACTTCACCCCAGCTTCCCACAAACCTCCAAAGTTTGGAGAGTGAGAAGGGATGAAGGACCACTTAGTACCCTTGTTTGCCGGACACTGCAATTTCATCGGCAATATTTGAATTCTCAGCTTGAATCAGCCTTTGCAGCTCCTTTGATGCTCCAACAAAATTTGTGCCATTATCGCTGAACACCTCTAGACAGTGACAACAACGCGCTACAAAACGCTTGAAAGCTGAAAGGAAACCTTCTGTCAAGTTACTGACGGCTTCTAAACGAATGGCTCGCGTCGCCAGACAAATAAAACGTGCAATGTGACCTGTATAGCATCGACAACCTCTGCCCTTGGAAATCCTAACATTAATAGGGCCAATACCACAGCGGGAAAATGGACGACTTACTGTAACCCTAGCTTTGGGTAAGTCTCCCATTAAAGGCTGTTGCGAAGCAGTTCGTTGATACTTAATACATTTTTCACATTTTCTAACATAATCCTTAATTAGATTTCTTACCTTTAAAATCCAGTACTTGGATTTAATATAATTCAGCATCGATGTAAGTGGAGAGTTTTCTCGCGTGCTTCTGCTACAATTAAACGTCACAGATAACGTGCACACTTCTAGAGGCCCAACTAGAATATGTAGAAATATCTTTGAGCCTAGTTTTTGTTTTGATTTATTCATCACGTAAGACATTGTTGGTGGGATAGTGAAGTGGACAAATGTGGAAATATCTAGAAAAAGACCTACTGGAAATACCCACGCTACCTGCAGAGATACATGCTCCATAGAAGTTAGAGCCTATTTTGGTATTTTGACGCTAACTGCTGCAATGAAAGATAACCACCTAACTGCATACTATTCGATAGCACATTTTCAGGGTCTAGGTATTTAGCAGTGATGAGCAGAGAGCGTTTCAACTTTCTCACGCGTTGTTTGAGAATAGATGACAAGACTTTGCGTCCCGCCCTACGTCAAGAAGATCCCTTTATTCCAGTCAGAAAGATATGGGAGATGTTTATACAACAGTGCAAGTCTAACTACACACTGGGAAACTACCTTACAGTAGATGAACAGTTGGTTGGATTTCGAGGCAGGTAGCAGGAAACGGGAAATTCCTCAAGAAATTAAAAACACCCGGTGTCGACCTGTTGGTACATCCATGTTCACCTATGATGGCCCTTTGACTTTGGTTTCCTACAAACCAAAACCAGCTAAAATGGTGTTCCTGTTATCTTCGTGCGACGAAAAAGGGCTCATAAATAATGAAACTAGAAAGCCGGTGATGATCATGTTCTACAACCAGACCAAAGATGGTGTAGATACATTGGACCAAATGACTTCATCTATGTCATGCTCTAGAAAGACTAACCGATGGCCAATGGTTATTTTGTTTGACATGCTAAATATATCTTTCATGAATTCGTATGTTATATATTGTCATAATATATCAACAAAACATGAAAAACCCTGAGTCGAAGACAATTTATCTAAAAAAATAGCACGCAGTTGACTACTGAATGGATGCAAAAAAGACTAGAAGCACCTACGTTGAAACGACTACGTTGGAATGACTGCAATAATATCCGGGATATTATTCAAGTCATCCTGAAAAAACCTTCCGATGACTCTTCTGTAGAATATGAGGGTCCACCACCTCAAAAAAAAACTTTAATGATAGACTTTCAATATATATTTAAAGGCTCACTGTCTTTCTTAAAAATATATTACTCAGAAAATGCTGCTGATGCCAATGAGAATATAGTTTCAGATCGAGCTTTTAGAATTTAAAAATGTATAAGGATGGCCGAGAGGATGAAGGCTGGTTTTAGTCTTACGCCGACGGCACGCGCACCGTCAGCGCTGTTTGCCGAGATATATGAATTTCTAGGAAGCATTTTTGAATGACGCGTAGCTATCAGCACGCACGGTGGTCAGCGCTGATAGCTACGCGGCCGTACGCGTCGCGCGTCGGCCCCGCGTAGTTGTCAACGCTGACGATCGCACGAGCGCCTCTGCTTTCAGTGAGCGTTCTAGTGTCGAGCGGAGCGGACGTCGTCAGCGCGTACAGTCATGGTGAATCGCGAAGTGGATACAGGTCGAGTTATCGATGAGGTACGCCTGAGGAAGAAATTGTGGGATGCATCCGATCCACTCTACAAAAACAAAGATGCAAGAAACAAAGCCTGGGAGGACATAGTGGACACATTGTTCGAAAATATTTCAGGAGAAGAAAAACAACAACTTGGTTTGTTTACTTTCTTATTTTATTATCTGAATACCTACACTACAGGACAAAGCCTTTTCAAGTTATAATATACACGAATCTTGCCAGGGTACGCTTCCAATAGGGCTCACAGAGTACTCAGCAAAATGTTCTCGCAGAGCGTGTCCAGACCTGTTTGTAGGTACAGTTGGCAAGTCTACCATACCCTAAATTGTAAGTGTGTCTTCAATACGATAAACATCGCGAATTATTTTTAATATTCTTTGTAACATCAAAATTCAGCTTTACGACGTTCATGCTCCTGTTCGTCTAGTGCGTGTAAAGCATCCTCCCTCTCCTTGGCTGACCGATGATATAAAAAAAATCATCCACATTAAAAATTGTGCCAAAGCTAAATACAAGTCAGTCCCTAGCGATTTGAATAGAGAGAAGTATAGATTAGTACGGAATCGTTGCAACAATCTGTGTAGAAAAGCACAACGACGCCATATCCATGAATCAGTACAAGATCCTGATCCTGCTAAGGTCTGGAAATTTCTTAAGTCCTTAGGAGTTGGGAAATTACGACAAAATTTCACACACCATAACCTTGATCTCAATCAACTTAATTTGCATTTCTCATCTTCGTCTTGCATTAACGATAAAGCAAAACATAATACTTTAGATTCTCTTTCAAAAGCTCCCACTCCGGACACCACTGCTTTTAATTTTAGCCAATTTAACAGTTGTGATGTTAAGAGAGCCATAATGTCCATCCATTCAAATTCGATTGGTAGTGACTGCATTAGTCGGAAAATGGTCATCCCTCTCATTGATCTCCTTTTACCTATAATCACGTCTATCCTGAATAATTCACTGAATTCTGCTTTTTTTCCCTTCAGCTTGGAAAGACGCATTTGTAGTTCCTCTTCCGAAAAAGTCAAATCCTCTAGTTTTTCCGATTATAGACCTATCTCTATTTTGCCTTTCTTTTCCAAAGTTCTATAACGTCTTGTGCACAATCAATTAAGCACCTATCTTTCAAAACACAATCTTTTAAATCCCTTGCAATCCGGTTTCCGTCCTGGTCATAGTACAACTACTGCACTTTTACAAATCACTGATGATATTCGGTATGGTATGGAGAAACAAAAGCTTACTATTCTCACGTTGCTTGATTTTAGTAACGCATTTAATACTGTAGATTTTGATATCTTGTTAAGCATCCTACGCTCTCTCAACATATCTCCAACTGTAGTTGACTGGTTTCGAAGTTACTTGTTTGGTCGCCGACAGCGAATTCAGGTGCAAGAGGTTTTTTCCACCTGGATTACTACAGCTGCTGGTGTACCACAAGGTGGCGTGTTGTCTCCTCTCCTTTTTGCAATTTTCATTAACTCTATAAGTCATAATTTGTCCTCTTCCTACCACTTGTATGCTGATGATCTCCAAATCTATACTCAGTCCTCTCTTGAAGATCTATCTAAAGCAGTTGACACTATTAACGTTGATCTGACTTGTATTTCTAATTGGAGTAAACGTTATGGTTTAACGATTAATCCTAAGAAAACTCAGGTCATTGTCATCGGTAGTTCTAGATTAATTGGTAAAATTGACTGGTCTTCCCTACCCCCTATTATACTAGACTGCACTCTAATCCCTTACAGTAACAAGGATAAAAACTTGGGATTGTATCTAGACTCCTGTATGTCTTGGACCTCACAGGTTAATGAGGTCTGTAGAAAAATGTTTGCTGTGTTAAGCTCTTTACGTAGATTACGTAATTTCCTTCCCACAGCAACTAAAGTTACGCTCGCCCAGTCTCTTCTTCTGCCTATCCTTGACTATGCTGATATTTGCTATCTTGACATTACCGAGGAGCAGCTGAATAAGCTTGAGCGCATTCAAAATGTATGCATTAGATTTATATTTGGGCTTCGCAAATATGATCATATCTCCGAATTTCGCAAACAGCTCAAATGGCTCCCGATCCGCCTTCGCAGGAATACTCACATTCTCTCCGCGTTGTATAGTGTGCTGTTTAATCCTTCTACTCCTCTTTATTTAAAAAACCGTTTCCAGTATCTTTCTCTTACCCATAATCGGTTCCTTCGATCCTCCATCAATCTTTCTCTCTCTACACCTTTGCACTCTTCTTCCTTTTTTCAAGAAATCCTTCACCGTAACCGCTGTGCGATTGTGGAACTCCTTACCTTCCGTATTCGTCGTGCTAAATCTCTTCACTCTTTCAAAATTCTTGTTAAATCGTATTATTTAGAACGCTATTAGATAAATTACTTTACCTTTCTCTTACTCTTTTCATTTAATCTATTATATGATATTTTATATATAACTTTCACTTACTTTTATTTGTATGTATTATTGTATTTTTTTTATTATTATTTTGTATGCCCCCCCTCTATTTGTAACTTTTGTTTGCATCATTCCTCTACGCAAAGGTTGTCTGGAAGAAATCACTTTCAGTGATAAGACCGCCTATTGTACATACTTTAATTAGTTTTAACTATATTGATGTTTCTGTATTGTGGTGTACAAAAAAGAATAAATAAATAAATAAATAATAAATAAAACTCACATTAATAGGTGTATGAAACACTCTGAACTTGTTTGACATTATGCCAAATGTCGATTCTATGTATCGTCTACTGCGGCTCAGTCTATAATTAAATAATTTTTTCTTGTGGGTCATATTGTATCGTGCATATATGGCTTCAGAATTTTATTTGATATTCCAAAAGCACCATCACCCACAATTACATGTTCAACTGGAGTATTTGTTCCAGGCAATGGCTTCGGTCCTGGAATATTTAAAGTGTTTTGTTCAAGGGACCTGTATAGTGTACTGTTTTGGAATATAGTCGAGTCCGAGTTTTTCCCATATGTTGTTCCAATGTTTACATATGTAAAACAATAATTTGCATCGCACATAATTAGCAGACCTATGGAGTAAATTTTTTTATAGTTGTAGAATATTGATCCACCACCGGTTGGATTTACGATTCGCATGTGCTTGCCATCAATAGCTCCGATGCAATTTGGAAAATTGGTCTTTTGTAGAAAACCGTTAGTAATATTTTGCCACATATCAGGTGTATTTGATGGTATGCATTCATCGTGTAGCGTTTCCCATATTACTTTACATACTTCGTCCACGATCTTACTGATTGTTGCGATTCCCATCCTAAATGAATACTGCAAATCTGTATATGTTCGACCCGTAGCAAGAAATCTGAAAATAAAAAGATTTTATTATTTCAGGAAAACGGTTCAACAAAGGTGGAAAACAGCCCGGGGTGCGTTTTTAGAACAAAGAACACAATTAAAAAAACGCCTTCTGGAAGTGTTGCACCAAAATACAAAAAGTACATCTATTGTGACGAATTAAGCTTCCTAGCTCAAACAGTTGAGATTGAAGTTGATGAATCACTGAATGCCCCTTCACTTCCCTCACCCTCAGTAAATATAGATAATACATTGGATAGTATATTATCTTCAGAAAATACTCAAGATTCTGATATATCAACGCAGCAAGATTTTTGAAACACTCAACAGGGTGAGCAGAATAACCATTGTGTTGATTCAGCATCATCACAAAAACCTTGGCTGGAAAAGAGAAAAAGAAGGGCCCCAAAAACAAATCCAGAAAGTTCTCCATTTGAAAAAAGAATTGTTAACTTTATTAAGTAACCAAACCCCCAGATCTTGCCGCTGACGAACTGGCTTTTTTCGCTTCTTTAGGTCCAATTATAAAGTTTTGATGTAGGACAAAAGCTGGAGTTTGCAACAGATCATATAGCTCAAATAGCTCTTACTCCAATGACGCAAGGTCTACACTCGGCACGTATGCATCAACATACAATTATCAGACTCCAGCTTACCCAGGGTACGAAACCAATGATGCGAATCCAGGTTACTCTGGTTATCAAACAGCGAGACGTACTGAAGAATAATTATATTATGTTTAATTACTAATAATTTTATTTTATTTTGTCTTACCTATAACATAAACATTACAATAATAAATATGTTGTTTTTTACCTATACTATGATTAAACAGTTATAAAACGAGTAAATATGTTTTTTTCTTACCTTAAAGTCACCATTAGTTGTTCAATCTGTGGTATAGGCACGATTCGTAAGCTGCAACGGACTAGTTTATCCTGTATCTTTGCCAGTAATTCGTCAAAAGTTCTAGTTGACATTCGAAAGTAATTAAAGAATTTACTTTCGTCAGCCCTCGAAGTGCTATATAACAAGACAAAGTCTCCTGCAACGGCCCTCTGCTCAATTAATGGATGAACATGGAGTCTTCGTCGTCGACGGTTTTTATTTTTTTGGGATAGATAGTACAAAGCAGTAATAATTAATACACTCCGCATTTTGGTCGTCGTCTGTACAGTAAGGCGGTCAGTACGATACTAAAACGAGTCACGCTGAGCCTCAGCGCTGACAAACTACGCGCTGAGCTATGAGCGCTGACTGTGAGCATGAGACTAAATCAGTCTGAAGTTTTAGAACCCGGTTGTGCGGACCTTGTTTATCAATCTCTATGGGGAAATTTCAAGATACCGTGTCCTTTAAATTCCAAAGTGCAAAGTGCAAAACCGAAATACCGAGGAACATTTTCTTACAATCAAAAGCACTTGCATCGAATACCAAAATAATATCAACTATCTACAGTATAAATGGGCCAAACGGTGATGGAATAGACATTCAGTACAAAAAACGTCCAACTTCTCAAGAAAAGACAACTCCGTGCGGGAACACGCGAGAAAGTAGCAAATATGTCACTACAAAACCTCCGGTCAGTCATTATTGCCGTTAAAAATGCGCCATTTACTAAATATTTGCCAAGACACTTAACGTTACAGCTAATATCAAGGATTTCAAGCAGAAAAATCCAAATTTAAATATGAAAATCATAATAAACGGATAATTTTAATTATAAATAATTATAAATAAGTTATACTATTTATAATTGTTTATACTTAAAATTACCCGTTTTTTAAATAAAAATATATATATATATATATATATATATATATATATATATATATATATATATATATATATATATATATATATATATATATGACCAGGATAAATAAAATATGTTTTGATCTTTCTAAAGGTTTAATAATAGGCCATTTGTAATATTTTTGGCGTGATCGTCTTAGTTAGGACCCTTATTTACGTTGTGTTTGTTTAGTAATTTAGTAACTAACTAAATCTAGTCCAGTTTAACCCCCAAAAGACACAAGTTTGCGCGTTAACAGCTGAAAAGAACCCCTTTGTCGTATCTCCTCAGTTTCAAGGCACTCCCCTTGTTGACTCAGCCAGTATCGGAATCCTCGGCGTCGACATATCGAGTGACGTGCAGTTTCGTGGTCACTTGGAAGAGAAGGCCAAATTGGCCTCTAAAAAAGCTTGGCGTGCTCAGCAGAGCGGGACAGTATTTCATGCCGGCACACCGCCAGCAACTTTACAAGGTACAGGTTCGGCCGCACATGGAATACTGTTCCCATCTCTGGGCTGGGGCTCCCCAGTACCAGCTCCTTCCACTTGACCACGTCCAGCGCAGAGCGGCCCGAATCTTCGACGACCGAGTGCTTTCCGATCAGCTCGATTCACTGGCACTGCGAAGAGATGTTGCATCTCTTTGCATTTTCTTTCGCATATACCATGGAGAGTGCTCTGAGGAATTGTTCGGATTAATCCCTGCCGCCAAATTTCGTGAACGCACTACGCGGCAAACGTCCCGATACCATCCACACCATCTGGATGCTTGGCGGTCCACCACTGTACGTTTCAAGAGGAGTTTTCTTCCGCGTACAACCTCTCTGTGGAATAGTTTACCACCAGCGATTTTTCCGGACCGATACGACCTGGGGACCTTCAAGAAAAGAGCGTACTCCTTTCTAAAGGGCCGGCAACGCACCTGCAATTCCCCTGGTGTTGCGGTTGATCATAGGCGGCGGTAGTCACTTAACATCAGGTGAGCCGCATGCTCGTTTGCCCCTTCTTCTATAAAAAAAAACTTAGTTACTTTAGGTTTCTTTTGGAATAATGAATATTTACTAGAGGAATTGAAAGCTGTTGGGCGTTGTTAGCCTTGGCTTGTTGGCTATTATTAGCCTTATAAGCTAAGTGAACCCCGTTCACGAAGGCAGGGCTCGAGGAAGGTTAGAACATAAAACGTCCCTATTCCACTTATAAGCAGGGCGGGATGGTTGCGCCGAAAAAAAAATTCGGTATTCTCATATTTTTGTTAAGTTGTATATTGCTCGCCAGTCAGTTGCAGTCCTTCTTTCCTGTATCCTCATATCCCTTCCGTACGCACTGAAGAGGGAGGGGGGTCTAAAAGGTGACGCGATTTTTCGGCCAATGAGGAACGCGTTCCGACGATATGGAGGTGGTAAGATGGTCGACCCAATAAAGGGGCGCCCGCAGCCTTCCAGCGCCCTCTTCCAACACACCACTAGACCAGGAGCGTCCACCGCGGCACCGGAAGGAACTCCACCCCAGTAAGTGCGTTTTTTCTTTTCTCTATCCCTTTTTTGTTATTTTACTTGAGCTTTTTTTGTTTTGTTTTTCCCCGTCACATTTTCTCTCCTACCGACTCATGTGAATACCCACCTTGACACTGGTGAAGTGGTAGATTAGGGGGAGCGAGTGCATCGTCCTAGGCTGTCGCGTGCCACGTCAGCCACCTTGTTGGGGTATCAGGAAACCGCACATACAGTCCAACTAGTAACATCGCATAATAGGGTCAAGGCCCGACCGGAGAATCGGACTCAAGAACCCCTAGGCCCGTCTCCTAACCAACATAAATATATTAATAGATGTTCGCGAGAAATCCGCGAAAGAATGTATTTGTTCCCACCCAGCCCGGTATAGTAACCAGCGGTCCGCCAGACGCGAGTATAAGCCGCGCGTAGGCCGCACCAGTTGAGAGGTTATGATATGTTTTGTATAAAAACAAGCCTTCAATTAATGAATCAATACATTAAAACAATCAAAATACACTGACGGATAGGATTTAATTTATTTGTTTAATACAGTAACAGCTTAAGCGTAGCGTTGCATTATAGGATAGGATTACTACTTGTAGCGTTGCATTGTAGGATAGGATTATTTTACTTTACTTGCAACACTGAATCCGCCCATTACCGACTTACGCACCGTGTCTCGGTATCTGTTCGCTTTCTCTTCGTATTTGTGTATTATCGTATCTTACTTTTATTTAATAAGTTTCGTAGTCCCACGCGAGTGCTCCACTAATTAAAAACGGTATAATACATAAGTTTAATAAGGAAAATGAACCTTTTATAAGTGTGTACTAACTGTGGTATCGCTGTTAGAGGACGCATCTAGCGACATATAATATCACGAATTACTTCCGGATATGCCTGTTCTTTTATCGGAGTGGTTAACTTTTGAGGTAAGCTCTAATTTCGCTAAGTAAAATATTTATAGACTATTATGGGCGCTTTACACGGGCTTCTTAGCTAATCGCTTAGTACTTGTCACTAAGTCCTCATGTGTAAACACGCTGATTAGTGCTTAGTATTAGTATTTGTGAATAGTGCAAGTGAATAGAAAACGATTCTACTTACTAAGCGACAAGTCGATACCCCCACCATGATTTACTAAGCACTTGTCGCTTGCTGACCGTGTGTTAACAGCTCGACAAGTTAGTTAGTGACAAGTTGTACCGGGAAGTGAAAACACGTGTTTACTTATGTGATCATGGCTGCGGAAAGGTGGAATTCGGAAACAACAATGGAGTTCATTCAGGAATTTAAATCCTATGAAGGTTTATGGAACCACAAATCGGTTTTATATAAAAATAAACTCGCAAATGATGCTGCTTATTAGAAAATCGTTGAAGAGATGAATATTGCTGGTTTTGGAGTGCCTGAGGCGAAAAAGAAAATGTTGAACATTTCGGTCGACCTATTACCAGGAAAAGAAAAAAATTCAAAATTCAATGCGATCAGGAAGTGGGACTGATATTGTCTATGTGCCAAATCTGCATTGGTACAAAGAAATGCATAGTTTGTTGAAAGATATAGCGAAAGGCGCACAACTACAGAAAATGTAAGTAATAAAACAACATTTTTCATAGGGTAGGTATTAGATTTATTTCGAAGTAGTTAGGTATTATGTTTACTTTAAACTAATGGATCATTCTAGATTGCCATTATTACCTTTGTTTACGAAGTAATTCGTATATCTTTCTCTCAATTGTCGGGCCATTCTTGACGAGTGATTACTACTCACTGGCTGAATACTTTGCAAATCAAAGTTGGCGTCCCTCCATAATCCTGGAATAATTTCCCCAGTTTCCAAATTTTCATAGTCAACACATCTCGTGGTTACGTATGTCCTTGAAGTTTTTCTGAGCCAGTTATGTATAGTGCATATTGTACGAACAATGCGATCAGTAACAGTGAGATTAGTAGATATAGATGTTCTAAAAATTCTAAAGCGACTGGCTAAGATGCTAAAAGCTTTCTCGACGATTCTTCGGGCCCTTGACAATCTATAATTAAAAATTTTCTGCTCGTGGGTCAAAGGACTATGCTTGTAAGGTTTCAATAAATATGATTTCAGGGGAAATGCGTCATCTCCGACAAAAAATTAATTGTTTGGCGGCATATTGTTTTCGAGATCACGAAAAATCGAACTGTTCTGAAAATGGGGGTTTTCAGAACAGTTCGACCATCTGAGCACCGGCCGTTTGCGCCAATATTAGTATATATAAAACAGTAATCATCACCTACGACGGCCATTAGCACGATGCTGTTGCTTCTTTTATAATTAAAATAATCACTGCCACAGTCAGGAGGTGCTTGAATACATATATGCTTGCCATTTATAGCACCATGAGCCCCTGGAAAGTTCCAACGTGTATTGAAACCTCTTTCTATATTCTTCCATTCATCCTCTGTAGCAGGAACCTGAAATGCAATTTTATTCTTCAGGTTAACGGATCTACATGCAGCGAGCAACATAATCCTAGAAGTAGCGAGCAAGATATCTCTATGGCTTCCACTTCAGAGGGTGAATCTATTTCGGTACCAAGGGGGGAACAACGTCAAAGTACCTCCAGTAAAAATGTGTCACAGCGGAAAGGAATATTTCGTGCGATTGGAGAACCAAAAAAATTACAAGAAGCTGTCAATAGGGATGTACCCGAAAAAGAAGACAGATTCGATGTGTTTGCAAGGAACGTAGCAGTGCAGTTAAGAGAATTATCATTCGAGAGAAGTATGATTGCCAAACAGAATAAAATATTTGAGTAACTACATCTACATTTCAATAATAATCTGCTTCCAATGAAACATTGGAAAGCATCTCATCTGCGGGATCGTTACGTAATCCATCCACACCTGCTTTGATTTCTGATGGAAATATCCTATCACAGGCCATAGCAATGACACTTGACTGTGAAGAGCACAGACAATAATTTTCCGGGTACTTATGTTATTAGAAATGATTACAATAATGATTACAATAAACAAACTTATTGTTTTTTTACCTTCATGTAACCCGAAAGTTGATTGTAAATTGCATCAAGATTACTTCGGGGATGAATTTTGAAATCGCTGGTTTAGAAACTCTGAACTGTTGCCAAAAATGACAAAGTAACCTCCAATTTTATTTTAGCTGGTATGGCACTTCTCATATTTGTGTCTTGTCGTTGAATTGCTGGTGCAACTTTTTCTTATAAAATATCAAATTGTGCCGTTGACATTCTCATAATTACTCTATATTCTTCTGAATCTTCCGTTGTTAGTTCTTTTAATAGAAGAGCAGAATGGCTCCGTTCATCTCTGCGCAGTAACCACTATCTTGTCTACAAACGTTTTGTTTTTAATATTTGTCTTTCAAGCTCTTCGATCATGCTTGAAATAATAATGTTTGAATATTGCTTAAACACACTGCGCAAAATCAGGCGGCGTCGCTCCATTTCGAATGTCTGGTCACTAATAACTTTTACTGGCACCAACGTGTAAACGGTTACTTTTCACTTGTCATATTGAGGCTTAGTATAGTGACAAGTACTAAGAACTTAGCTACAAAGCCCGTGTAAACCGGACATTACGTATTTACCCACATTTACGAGAAGAATCAAATTGGAATATTATTTACCATATAATCTTAATTCGACAATATGTATGTATGTTAATATACCATATAAACTTAAATCGAAAGCTTAGATTAATGAGTACTTATCTTTCCTTCACAGTTGTCACCTCATAGCAGCGTCTGCGGTGCCTGCTATGACACAATAACAAGATGCCTTGTAAAAAATTCAAGGGATAGACAACTTGGTCACGATAATATTTGCTATGATTGTGATCAATATGTTGCACGTGCAAGAAAACGCAGCTTCCAGAATTTAGTTCTTTGGCCTTAGTTGTATCATCATGGCATCACCATGTGAGTAATTATTTTCATTATTCATTAAAATTCACTCTGCCAATAAGACACAATAGTTAAACAATCACTGTGGCCCATATGTGGTATTTTCAAAATCTAAACTCGAATATTTATATTGGTGCTGTACTGTTAACTAAAAGTAACTTCTCAATCTGCATTAAAGCTGTGAACTTTCCAACACACCATTATATTATACACTATATCATAACATTCATCTTTATTTTGTGTTTACAACAGCTTGTCTCAAAAATGAAAGTGAACAAGATAAAGTTTTATATTTTTTCAGGTTATAGTGGCCAACTTTTTGTGTCATGGTTGTTATGTGAGAGCTAATAGATAAGTCGCCCGAAGAAATATTGTTGATTCTAACAGATTTGAAAACATAGAAGGAAACCAAGCAACATTCAAGGTGTATCAACAATTGTCCTGCCGAATTATAGACGTTGCGCTTATACATCTAGAAGATGCATATTTGATGGCTGTCAGCATAGTGCAGATCAATTACTGCCTACCTTGATAAAATCAGCATTGTTCTTGGATAGTAAACTTTAGGGTTGGCTATAGACATCTGGTACTTGATTATGATAATGTTTTTAGTCTAGGAGGCTTGTTAGGGTTAAGCTTGAACCTCTTACACTGTTTTTAGATGTCGGAAATTCGTTTTGAATTAATTACTATAAAAACAAATTTCACTAAAAATTGTGTAATAACGAAACGCAAATATGTCAATTTGTTCTCGTGTTATGAAGTAGATTTTCGGTACTTGATTTTTTAATTTTGTTTTCAATTTAGGAGGATTGTCAGGGTTAAGCTTGAACCATTTACACTGTTTTTGGAGTTCGATAAAAATTGCATATAACGAAACGCAAATATGTCAATTTATTTTTTTAACACAGATACACTCATAAAAAAGTTAATCACTCGGACTCAGACAATCCATTTGTGGCTGGAGACGGGACTATTATACAACAAATTGAATCGCAGTGGAGATCAGTCAAGAGGTTTTTCAGAAAACAAAATTATAACAATTCACATTACATTATTTCACTTACCACTATCATAGCAGAGTTTAGGGCAACCACCAGACTTTATAGATAAGATTGGTCAAACCGGTTCTAAAACCAAATTAGCACACCCCGACTCCACGTAGTCTTGTCTGCCCTGCCCCTAGAGTGTTATTGTAAAGCCGTAGGAACGGAGGGAAAGCAGCCCGAGACCGCTGTAGCAAATGGGAGGCACCTAAGTGAGCCGTAGCGGCTAAGGCTGGTCGCCTAAGGCGACCGATAAGCCGAAGCTGCGGAGGCGAGCTACGAAGGGCGAAGGGGCCGCACTTCCCGCAGTGCCGAAGCCATTGCAGAAGTAACTTTGTGTCAATTGAAGTAATACTAGTTTTTACGGAATTTATCGCGTATTTTAATAATAAATATATTAACGCGATAAATTCCGTAAAAACTAGTATTATTTCAATGTGTAGTATTCGCGTAAATATAAGAAAACTTTGTGTCAATATTCCTGTATAAAAAAGTGAGGTTATGATTTTACAAAAAAAATTATTACTCACAAACTATACATTTCCGCAACGGGGGAAGGGTAGGGAGGCTTCCCATGACCCCCTCTCCTCCCTCCTAACACCGTACGGCCGTTGCAGAAGTAACTTTGTGTCAATATTCCTATATAAAAAGTGAGGTTATAATTATACAAAAAAATTATTACTCATAAACTATACATTTCCGCAAAGGGGGAAGAGTATGGGGGGCTTCCCATGACCCCCTTCCCTCCCCCTTCCTCCTCCCAACACCATACGCGAGTACCGGACGTCTAAAGTTTACCCAAACTTTATTTGCCTCTAAGTGCTAGGGTATGTGAAGAATATTTACATTCCAATGAATGGGAATTATTATTAGAGAACACAAGTTTAACTAATACTTTCACGGCAAATCAAAGTCAAAGCTTGTAAGAAAACAAAAGTGAGGAAAATTTTATTGATTTTGAAAACGTGGAGTCAATGCCTTGTCATGTATGTTACTATTGGAGAGGGCGCACTACCTAGGAATTCATAGAATTGCATACCCTGATGTTCCCGAAAATTCAAAAACTGCATTAGCAATGTTTTCAATCAAGACTGGTGATAGCGATACTAAGATACCTAATCTTTTTAGGATTTCGAAACAGACTCTAAAGAACAAGATGAAGCTTGTGAGAAACTGACGCTACATCTTGGAGCGTCCCACATATCTCACCAAACATTGGCAGAAAATAAAAACAGCACTATACCTGAGAAGTTACTTGGAAGTCATCAGCCTGCTTCCTCTAACAGATCGGCTATTGTACAATGCGATGGTCCATGTGTAAACTTCCATGAGCCAAAGAGTACGAACTATATATACAAAAAAACATACGGTCTTCATAAATATAATAACTTAACAAACCATTTTTAAATGTCTGTTGCGATGGATATATTGTAGATGTGTTTGGACTTTTTGTTTGACTCAATATGATGAAGAAATAATTAATTAGTTTCTAGCGATGGAAGCTTGTTTCAATATTTTCATTAAAATGATGTGTTCGTTTTAGACTGTGGCTTTAGAGATTCTATTTCCAACTTAGATGCAATCTTAGGTTATTGGTCTAATTGTGTAGTAATGACTATTCTGTGGTACGGTACTTGGGATGGACAAGATGCCAAGAAAGTATTATTCCGCCTGCTGCATTTCCTGATAATGAACTAATACCATTAAATGATTTAATGCATTAAATAATGCAAGTTGTTTTATTTTCTGTCCAATATACTTCGACCAATAACAGTACTAACATAATTATGTTACAAAAAATAGTTACAAACAATAAAAATAATTTCAGGCTCAAAAAATGCTGTCCCTTTTTTTAGCTAAACCAGTTAAAATACATCCTAACCATCTGGGACATATAAAAGTATAACTTTATTAATATCTAAATTTTGTAATTATGATAAAATCCTACTGACCAACCGACTGACAAATCAACTTTTTTTAAATCTTCATAAATTTTTCCACTACTGCGTAGCTATATGCATTTTTTCTAATTCTTTATATAGAAAATCTGTACTTTCAAACGACAAAAATTTCATGTCTGTACTGTCTGAGGCACAGGCTCATACAATTTTTGGCCATCTCCTTTCAAGAAAATATGGCATATGACATTCTGATTCCGCGACGGCGAGAATTATTTTTAGATGATGTTCAATATGACCAAAACAATATGTTTGATGAAGCGTTATTTGAATTGAACAAATTAGTGCAATTACTTTCGGGTGAATTTCTCATGGATTTTGGACTGCCTATGCCAACTAATATCACTAACCCAGATTTAACATGTGCCGAATACATAAGAGAAATATCATACGAAGGGAAATTATTTTTATATGAAGGGAAATTATTTTTCCTTGATACTGCATGAGGCACAGGGAAAACATTTTTAATCAATGGGGTTGGACAACTGTCAAAGTGGCGCTAGCGTAGTTTGTTCCCAAAACATTGTACTTTTCTATGGTCATATTTGTGGGACGTGGAATATATTGTGGAATAAATTGGTGGAACGCACCAATCACCGAAGGATAGAAAAATAAGAAGGCTTTGGTTAAAAGCCAGCGTCCTACAAAAAGTACGAGATTGTGTGATAAACACTTTGTAGAAAGTGATTATGAAATAACAAGCAAATACACAGGTAAGCTGATCATAAATAATTGTTAATTACAATTTTAAGTGCTGATTTACCACGTGCTTGGCGGTGAAGGAAAACATCGTGAGGAAACCTGCATGTCTGAGAAATAAGAAAAAAATATATTTCGAAGACATGTGAAGTTCGCCAACACGCACTGGGGCAGCGCGGCGGACACTTCCTTGCCCTAAAACCTGTGCTCAGCAGTGAGACGTATATAGGCTGTAACTTTACTTTTTTTACTTTACTGATTTAACAAGTGCCGAATATATCACTCGTATATCACTCGCGAGCGTACATAGTGGACTTGTTGTAGATTGTTTTAGAAAATATTAAATGCTCACCAACTAATCTCAAATCTTAAGATGCGATTGTTTGACATCATTTACTAAATCAAAGTAGAAGCTATTTCGAGTGTCGCCCGTTAACCCTTTCAATATGCACACGGTCGGATCCGACCAAGGCGATATTCCGTCAAATTCCAAGCGGTCGGATCCGACCACACCCACCCACAGCACTTTAAACCATAAAAACTTATATTTAGAGACAACTTGTCTAACTTGTCTTGATCAAACACAAAATATCAATACGTGATAAGTGGGTAATTGCCATAAATATGAAGTGGGTAATATTAGGAGCACCATTGATAGTATTATCTCGGACAACAAAAACTTCAAAATCAATTTAACAACTCTAACAATCATCACAGAAAACATCGCAAAGAAAGTAAAGCTGCTTGAAACCGATGTAAACCACCTCAAATACGTGTTGCTTTCAACTTCTCGAATAGCATCTGCGCCATTTGATGACATTATTTGCGAAATACAGGAAAGAAATGTACGTTCTAAAAACATCATAGTTGTAGGAATACCTGAATCCAAGACCAACACTGTAAAAGAACGACAAGAATACGAAAAAATGCAAATTTTTAAAATAACGACTATTGTACATAAAGAATGCTATCAACCGGTTAAAACTGTCCGTCTTAGAAAATATAAGCTTGAACAGACCCGTGCAATTAAATATGTTTTTCATCTAAAGTAACTGCTAAAACTATTTTACGCAATAGAAATGAACTAAATTAGCCAAAAATTAAAATTAACTCCGACCAAACCCCAAACCAACGAAAGCAAATGCAAAATTTGAAAGACGAGCTTTAAAAACGTACTGCAAATGGAGACACTAACCTTGTAATCAAATATGTTAAGGGTATGTCTAAAATTATAATAACTAAAGAAAACATGCTAACCTCGGATTCAGCAATCACAAAAAACTGATTTCCGCCTCTGAGAAAATAACTTACCATGTTATTGATAATTATACTGATATAGTTTTTGTTAAGAAATCATTTAAATTTTTTGTGCCAATGCCCGTAGTATCATTAAACCAGGCAAATTTGATGAGCTGAGATTCATTGTCACTTCGCTTCAAACGACAGTACAAGTTGTTGTGTGGTCCTCTCAAAATCGGTTGATTCGTTCGTGAAATTGTGTTAACGAAAATTTTTGAAAAAATTTATTCACATTTAAAAAAGGTTAGGTCTTGGTCAGAGTACAAAAAAGGAAACACTATCAAATATTTAATTTCAAGCACACCAGACGGCCTTGTTAATTCTATTAGTTATGGAGGCAGAACGAGTGATACTATGCTCGTTGAAGATTGTGGTTTTTTGGATGAGTTACGTTCTGGTACCTATATCTTAGCTGATCGTGGATTCAAAAATATTGAACAGCTTTTATTACAGAAAGGATGCCATTTGCTTCGACCACCAAGTGTACCAACAGATTCAAAATTGTCGAGAAAGATGTACATAAAACAAAACAAATAGCGAGTTATCATCATTAAACTTTATTAAAAGCAACAAACACAAAAAATAAAATTACGCAAACTATATAGTAACACGTCGACCCAGAACAAATTACGGAAATAAGAAAATTGAATTTGAAGGTGTCATCGTGTACAATAAGTTACCGATTAATATAAAAGAAGCAATTATGCCCCATTTCAAAAAAATACTTAAAGCATATTTATTAAGGTCACATTAATAAATAAATTACCATGCATACGATAATCGTACGCTCTGATTGATGCCACTTCTAGCCAATTGCATTTCTTAACCAAGATCCGTGTTAGCTCGGTTGGTGTTATTAATTTGTTAATTGTTGCAAGATTCGAAGACTACCGACTATATACACTAATTTAATAAGATAAATGTAGGGTACATTTATCTTATTAACTTATATATAATATTCAATTGTACGCTCAATAGAAGTATGTTTTGTTAAATTTAGTTTCTCAGTAAGCAAATTATTGTTAATTCTTAATGAGACATAAAGTTCTTAAACCACCACGAATACACAAGAGCAATATCATACGATTAATGAAGCTGATACAATTTGCAACTCAAGATGATCCTCGCTTGAACATCGATCAATAAAAATTATTCACTGCTTTACTATCATTAATTGATAAGAATGAAGGGAAATTTTTCCTTGATACTCAAGGAGGCACAGGGAAAACATTTTTAATCAATGGGATTGGCAACTGTCAAAGAGGCGCTAACGTAGTTTGTTCACAAAACATTGCATTTTTCTATGGTCAAATTTGTAGGACGTGGAAAAAATTGTGGAAAGTGGTGGAACGCACCAAACACCGAAGGATAAAAAATAAGAAGGCTTTGGTTAAAAGCTAGTCGTGCTACAAAAAGTACAAGGTTATGTGGTAAACACTTTGTAGAAAGTGATTATGAAATAACAAGCAAATACACAGGTAAGCTGATCATAAATAAAGTTTTGACTTATCTTTTCAACAATCTCTACACCCCATAATATTTCGTACCTAACCATATGTGCCTATGCAATTTGTAATGTTAAAAATCACTTCTAGGAGTTAAACACCCAAATATTATTTTTGAAGAAAGGGGCTATACTATCTGTTTTTCCTTGGAATACGCAACCAATTTCCGAGAACACAAAGGCTAGGGAAGAACGATTAGTAAACCGCAACCTCAAGAAAAGACAGCTTTTTGACATGCCTTCAAGTACACAACATTGTGAAGATGATATATTGCCACCAGAAGGAGATATTCATGTACCTCAAGTGTATCTTAATAGCTTCTGATTGAACGTAGTTCTTCTTCAGTACCTGCATCTTTTATGCCAAACCACAACTCTTGTGGTATACAATCACCATATATACTAAGATTATTCGCTACAGAGTTATGACTTGCAGACGAAGAGACAGTGCATATTTGTACTGGGTTGGACACAATAGCAAAATTTTATTTAATTATCAGTACTCTTTTGCCTATGACACATGATATTAAGTACCGTTGGAGTAGAGTTGTTTCTTTGACGGTAGAGGATCAGTTTCCAATACCAATTAAACTCAAAAGAAATACAACTGCTTTTGAATTAGGCAAAATGTTTGGTGTAAGCAAAGCTGAAGTGTCAAACATTATAGTTACATGGATAAATTTCGTTAGCTTAATAGAAATTTTGCCTAATCGCAATTTAGTAAATTTTTATATGCCTAATATTTTAAAAAATATTATCCTTAAATAAGGCATATACTAGATGGAACTGAAATAGAAATACAAAAGCCTTGTCGTCCCAATGACTAAAGAGCCACATTTAGTACTTACAAACACAAGAATACCCTAAAATTTCTAACTGGTGCCTCACCAGGTGGTATCTTAACATATTGTTCAAGTACATATGCCGGTTTACAGCATGTAGCATTATGGCAAACAGGGGTTTTAATTTGCAAGATTTGTTTGCCTTTAAAGGAATTCGGATAAATATTCCTACCTCTTTAAAAGGAAAGTCTCAAATTCCTGGTGTGCAATTAAAATTAGACCAATATTTGGCTAGCCAAAGAGTCCACATAGAAAGACTTATCGGATTAATAAAAACTTATGTAATATTACAGTATGAATTTCAATCATTTCTATGTTCACTTAGCATCAAATATTATTTATATGTATTATGTTTTGTAATTTTAGAGAAGGGATAATAAATAAAACGAAATCATTTAACCCGCGAGCACAAGCGCGTGGTGCTGATAGCACCCCAGAGATTTTCAAACGTAAAAATTAATGCCTATTTGTTCGTTCATGAGTGTATGCGTCTGAGTAGCTTCAAATAACAATCAACCGCAACGAATCGAGGTTGGAGGGGCAGTGTGGCCAGAGCAAGTTTGCGTGGGGTGCTCACAACACCCCACGAGTTCTCGTGCTATACTTTTTCATATTTACAAAAACAGCAAGGTAAGTTGTTTTCAACCTTTTTTCATTAAAATTTAGTGTAAATGTATGTAAGTTATCCGATTTATGTGTGAACAATAATAATAGACATAAATATTAGATATTTTTGTGTGTAAGTACCTACTACTATATATATTTCGATGTTTTTATTTCATTTTCTTCTCAGATAAGTTGGGAGTCTGGGCAAGCAAGGTTGAGATCTATGTTGGAAGCTGGTATGTCGGATAGTGAAGACGACGTTGCAGTCGAAAGTGATGCCAGCATTGATGATGATTATGTACAAGAATCTGATCACGATTCAATGTCAGAGCAGAATGCTTCATCAAGAATCCTCAGTTCTTTTAAAAAAGTTTAAAGAAAGGACACTCAAAAACGTTCTCAATGTCTGAACTCCAGTCCAAAAGTCTAAGCTCTATCCAATCAATTACCAATGATATGATAGCAGAGATAACCACTGGCAAAATACGTATACTGAGAAAATTTCAGTAAATACGCACGTGGAAGAGATTGCAAAAGGACCGATAAAACGGAAATAGTAGCTTTGATTAGTTTACTAATCCTGTCCGGGTTGTGTAAGTCTAGTTATAGAAAGCTGCAAGATTTATGGGATGAGTCTAGATTAGGCATTGCAATTTTTCACAAAACTATGAACTACAACAGGTTTTCTTTCCTTCTAAAATGTTTGCGCTTTGATGATGTAAACACTCGTGAGTCAAAAAAAGCTACAGACAGATTTGTCTCAATCAGAAACATTTTTACGCAATTCAACAATCATTGTATTGAAAATTATAGTCTCAACGAAAACTTCACGATAGGTGAACAATTACTGAAATTTCGGGGGCGCTTATTTTTCGGCAATATATTCCAAGTAAGCCCAGGCGATATGGTTTGAAAGATTTTGCATTATGCGACGCAAAGACATTTTACACATATCAAAGTGAGCCGTATCTATGTCAACAACCAAATGGACCTTACAAAGTGAGCTACAAGCCAACCGATATAATAATGCGATCATGTACACCGATTTTAGGTTCTGGAAGGAATCTGACTTGTGATAATTGGTATACTAACCTCCCATTAGCAGAAGAACTGTTGAAAAATAAAGTGATGGTAGTAGGTACATTGCGAAAAAATAAAAAGTGTTTTTCTCAGCTTTTGCCAACCAACGAAAAGTTGGAACTTCTATATTCGGGTTTTACTACAAGTTGCCATTGACTGTTGTATCGTATTGTCCTAAACAGAAAAAATGTATTACTGATATCTACAATGCATGATATTGTCATACATTGACAACATTATCACAACAGCCACTAATGAGCAAAAACCAGAAAGTTTTATTCTACAATGAAACAAAAGGTGGCGTTGATGCGGCTGACCTGCAGATGCGTGGTAACTATTGTAATAAGACTTATATATTAGAGTAGTTATTTACATCACTCCGTCAATACTAAAGAGTCTATGGTCAAGTCTTGATATTATCGATAACGGTTCGACTCGATGGTGTTAAGGTAACGTCAAAATATTGTCTTTGGATTAGAAGTAATCTATGGAGGTCGGAAATCGTTCAGAGACGAGCCACCGGAGGGACATTAAGGTTGGTGATGTATTATTTATTTCGTTATATTGTGAAATTTAATTAGTTTATTTGAATTAAATATTGTTATTGCATTGTTTAATTACTTTTATTAGAAATCCACGATTCACTTTTGAGGTAACCTTTACATCTCAGAAGTGGGATTTACAACACAATTTGTTATGTGTTAAACCATCCCACGTGCTCGACCGTTGAATAGTGATACTAATTTCTATTTATTTCTCGCTTTAATGAAAAATCAATGCAATTACAAGTATAACAGCAAGTTAAGTGCCTACTAAATGTGGTAAGACGCTAATATGACCTACGATTCGCACAATTTAACTAGATTAGGTAGAAATTATTTTTTTCGCTTGGTTATGTTTGTTCTACCATATTCTATTTATTTTCGGATTAAATGCCTCATAATGTGATTGAAAATATTCATTTCCATCGGTGATATAGAAAAATTAACGCTCAATAGCACCAATAAAATTTGATACGGTTGCTAATTTTGGTGATGAAAATAGAAAAAAATGGAGACTTTTATGGTTAAAATTACCATAATGTTTATTTAATATATTTTTTACAATATGGTTAGTTAAATATTAGTTTATAAAGTTAGTGCAGTAAAATCAATCCACAAAGGTGATAGAATGGGCTGAGAATGATCAGCAGATTTTGTGATGTTGGCGAGAAATCCAAAAGTACACACCTCTAATGCTCGTGATACGTGTTCAGATTAATAATATTTTTAATAGAATTTTTAATTAAACTTTTACCTCGTTTTTTAACATATAATTAAACATCTTATTTTCATAAACATGCAAAATCAACTAAAACGAAAGAAATCACAATCAGACTTTTGGGGATCATAAGGCACATAAGGTTATCATATTCTAAGCTAAAATAATTAGTCTTCTTCATTTCCGACATCATTTTCAGGAACATTGCCTTTGAAGCAATTTCCACACGGGAAAATTGCATGATCTAGGCACACGTGGCTTTTGCACGTCTCACAGATGTATTGGGTTTTACGGTCTTTCTTTGATGGACAACCGTAACATCTACGCCTTACACCTGGAGCTGTTTTTTTCACCAGGGGACCTTCGTCGAGTCCAATACGGTCAGCAATTCGTTTGCGGAGATCTGTGGAAAGGCGAGTATTTTTCTGTCTTGTTTTTAGATGAGATTCTATCAATGCGATACCCAGATCTTTGATAAAATTTCTGCGATTATTTTTGATATCAGCCGGGCTAGCATGAGCAGGGGATAAAAATTTTATCCACCGATTATATCCACTGACAAGGGATAAAATTGTCTTATCCCTATGTCAAAGCTTTATCCACCCTGCGAGCATGGGCCTATGGTGGATATAATATCGACAGTAGATAAACTTATCCCCGCGCATAGATAATATACCATAGTATAAAGCTATAAACTATACTAGCTATAAACTAGTTTTAAGATTAAGTAGATTTACATAAACTTATATTTTCTTTTTACCTTTTGTTTATTATATTGCCAAACTGTTCATAATTTTTGTTAAACAATATGTCATTTATAATATTTGTTATATTTATTTTAAGCGTATTTCTGCGTTGTTTTTATTTTTTCTATTATTCTAATTCTTTCTTTATTTTCTTTAGTATAATATCAAATCGCAGGTATTACTTCGCTTGTGATAGCATTTATTAAAAAATATGTGTTTAGAATTAAGCCAATTGTGAAACTGGACAATACAGACCCTTTGGAGGTGGTGCAACCTCTTGAAGAAATTAAAAAATATATATCCCCGCAATTACTGTCATTATAAGAAAATTACAAAATACATCAAAATTGATGTCTACTCTAAGTCACAAAGATTTAATTTTAATTGAAAATGATGAAGCATGAAGAATAAAAATGTAATGATTTCAAACAAAACAAGGAATAAATAATTTTATAATCATGAGTATAGTATATTTAGCAAGCTTTGCTAAAGAATTAACATATTTCTTAATTTAAACCTTTGAATTGTAACTTTACTAAGTTTGATAACTTTATTTTAAAACGTTATAATACTTACCTAAAATATAGTATAGACCGATTCTATTATCATTAAATTTGACTTGACCATGAACTCGCCTTGGGTATTGTTGACACAACCTATGTAATTAAATCATGGCATTGAGCTATTGAGACTTTTTTGGACAAGGTGGTTGTAATAGATGCTTACTTCAATGTGCACTGGTAGTCCATCCACAGAATTAATAGGCTTTAAAGCCTCATAGAGTTCTTTACACAAATACAAAACAATCTTTGAGCATCCGAAACCGGCGTAGAAATTCGTTGTCGGAGAATTCCAATAGATTAAGTATTCTGATCACGTATCGATCGCTGATGTAATTCTCTTTCTTGTTTTTCAATTTCTGACACGAAAATGTAGTTGCAATAGGCTCGAGACATCTTTTTTTGTATTAAAATGGTTTGAAGATAAACTTAAACCCACGTCCGCGAAAGAGGATAAAATTGTCCCTTTCAAATGTCAAAAAGGGATAATTTTTTCTCTTTCCCTTGGCCCCATGCTACGGACGGGGAGATATATGTCAAACGGGGATATACTATCGAGATAAGATAATTTTATCTCTTGTCAGCGGATGTAATCGGGGGATATAATTTTTGTCTCTTGCCCATACTCGCAGGGTAGATAAAACTAAGCAAGGGATACAAATTATATCCTCTTTCCGGGGATATATTCTCTCCGGCTCATGCTAGCCCGTCAGGGAAGAGGTCTTTCTTCTGGAGTTTCTTGATACATCATAAGATCTAATAAGCTTGTCAGCGTTGTCAACACCACTTTTCGTTTTGTTATAGAATGTAATAACTGCTGGTTTTTGCTTCTCACCTGATTGCAGGTCGATTTCCATATCATGATGGAGAGATGACAGCAGGAACACTTTTTTTCTAGGTTTTGGGACGTATGATACTAAAGCCATATCTTTTTTGAAATTCGAACTGTAATGAATACATTGTTGAATTTGTTTTGAATTTTTCAGGTATGCAAGTTTTTTTTTTTTGATTTCATTGTACTGACAGCGGTTAGCTTATAATGATTTAGCAAGTGTTCATATGTTGGATAGCTCGTAAACCAGTCGTCCATCGTGATATTTCTTCCTGACTGAGAAACTGGCGCGACGAGGCGATCGACTACATCGTGAGGCTTATTGCTGACCTTATAATGTCCCTCTGGTTGCTCGCCTAAATAAATCTCCAAATTCAGAGAGTAGAATGTTTTGGCATCTACGAGCGCAAATATCTTTATTCCATATTTACCTGGTTTATTTGGCAAATATTGGCTAAATTTGCAGCGACCAAGGAAAGCTACAAGCTCTTCATCTAGAGTCACGTTTTTAAAGGGCGTGTAGTGTAGTTGGCATCTGCTAACGAATTCTTTGAACAGTTTCCTGAACGGGGCTAGTCTGTCCTGTGACAGTCTTTCTTGACATGTATCAACATCATCAAATCGCAAATGATTGACAATAAAAAGGAATCTTCTCAAGCTCATTGTCATAGCAAAAATAGGAATACAAGTTCCATCATTACACCACAATTCTTGTAAATTCTGCCTTGCAGATTTATGTAATCCCGCAAGGTAAATTAGACCATTGACAGCCTTCAGCTCATCCATACCAACTTCTGCATAAGCGTAGTCATTTGAAGTATTCAGACCAAGTCTCGTTCTTCGGATTCTCAAATTTGTATGAATTAGTATATCCAGCAACATCGACTGGCCCACAAAAAAATTGGAACACTCTAAAGGAGTTTTTGCATCTCTCGCTAATACTTTGACACCCGGTGTTCCAGTTACTATATTTTCACTACGTGTTAGAACGTTTGATCTAGCTGGAATTTTGTGCCACAAAGTTCCGTCTTTACCTTTGTAAGTTCTTCCTGAGGGCCGCGAAGTTAACTCTGACAGTGGCACGTCCATTTTAGAATCTGAAGATTTCTGAATCTGAAGATTTGAGAAATCATCATCAACTATTTTGAAGAGGTCTTCCTCCGAATCGATCGAGTCGGTTTCATGAGTTTCTTCTGTAACCTAATCAGACTCTTCGTCGCTGGAGTCGAATACAATATCATCTTTGGGATCTTCGTCCACCTCTTCGAGTAGCAAACTAACGATTTCCCTGTCCTGTAAGGACCTCTCCATTTTGAACTGTAAAGAATATGATACTATAAAGTTGAATTCCAAACAGAATAAAGAACTTTATGAATAAAATACATCAAATTCGTAAAAAGACAAATTAAAACAATAATAATCTCGAGTATTATATATAAAATATGTTACTATTTAAAATATTATGTTTATTTTTAACAAATTAACGACACAAAACCACTAATAGCAACAAATGAATACTTACATGAAAACGTCACGTCGTATGCCTGGTGGGGTCTGCGAGACCCGAGCGCACTTTAGGCACGTCCTTTCACTACTGGAGGACGCCCCCGGACTGAGGTAGCGAGCGGAGGGCGTCAATTAGTCAAGAGCATCGAGTTATAACGGTTTAACGGCTGCGGTGGGTCTCACAGACCCAACCAGGCACGCCGAACGTTAATGAACTAGACGACGAAAATTTTAAGATGTACTATTGTGTATCTAGACTACAGTTTGATGAGTTACTTACAATGATTGCCAAGAATATTGCTAAGATTGATACTAATTTTCGAAAAGCTATATCGCCAGAAGAAAGATTGACTATTTGTTTGAGGTAAGTGTATCAACATTAAAATTAAAAGTATTCAGTTACTTTGGTATATTTATTAAAAATTAGGTTTTATAACAAAGATTCATCGTTCTTTCTCTTTCTTTGCCTTTGTTCAGATGAGCTGTGAGATGTAGATGGTATAGATTCAGTGTTAGAACCATGATCAATATTTTCCTGTGTCTCAGTATGTGAAACTGTAATATCCTGGCTTTCATTTGCATTACCAGCTTCCATTGTACTATTTGTTGTATTATTCTGGCTTTCATTTACGTTACCACTTCTTGGGCGGTTTTTCATATAGGGCAATAAAAATTCAAGTAGACTGGCATATTTCCAAGTGTTTGTTGGTGATGCAGCTTGGCCACTTGTTGAGCTTTTAATTCTTTTTATTGATTCTCGATGCCCATCACTTAATTTCTTCCATTCGTTTTTGACGCTTTAACTGAAACAGTCATAAAAAAGGTTAGGGCTAACTTTCTTAATTTAAACTTACAATCATACTTTGCTGTTAACTGTAATTTTATAGTGCAATAAAGTATGTACGCATATGCATTCGTTAAAAAGTGTTGCCTTTTGCAGGTTTTTGGCAACAGGAGACTCCTACAAAACAATTGGATACAATTATAGAGTGGGTGACAGATCAGTTTTTAGGATTGTAGAAAACGTCTGCCAAGCAGTTTGGAATCATTTACAACCAATTTACATGTGTTTGCCGACTGAAAGAGAATGGAAAGAAGTTGCTGAAAATTTTATGCTGAAATGGCAATTCCCCAACTATGTTGGAGCAGTCGACGGCAAGCATATTTCCATAAAATGCCCACCTCATTCAGGTTCTCAGTATTTTAATTACCGGTTGGCAATAGAACGAACATATTGCGTTATCTTTTTCCGCGGGGTATCCAGTGCGCGAGCGGGGGGAGCCTAGCGTGGTTGGATAGTGGCACTCGTGGAGTTTTAGTAACCATGAGTCACTTCATAGGGAAGCGTCGCGCTTTTTGTGTTCGCACGTTTTACGAGAACGGTCGTTCATACATCTCTACAAGGCGAATATATCGTTCTGAATATGGATTAACACACATTAATGAAGCTCCGAGTGCAAATTTAATTAAAATATGGATAGAGCGTTTTAAAGAGACCGGTTCCACGTTTAAACCACCAGCAAAAGGTCGTCCAAGAACGTCTAGGACCACAGACAATATTAAGAGGGTGAAGGAGTCAGTAGGAAAAAATCCGCAAGTGACTACTCGGAAGCGATCGGCGGCTTTAAACTTGTCGCGACGAAGTTTACAGCGAATTTTGAAGTTGAATCTTAAACTGCATCCTTATAAGCTCCAGTTAACACAGGAATCAAAAGAGGAAGAGGAGGAGAGGAAGAGGCCGACTTCGGAGCAAGGTTGGCATTTGCTGAAGAAATGCTTAGTCGATTTTCCTCTTTTGATAACATTCTTTTTTCTGACGCGGCTCATTTTCATTTAAATGGGTTCATAAACCGACAAAATTGTCGCTATTGGAACGACGAGATTTCAAAAATGAAACATCAAAAACCACTGCATAGTCCGAAAGTAACGGTACGGGCAGCAATCTCAAGCAAAGGAATTATTGGACCTTTCTTCTTTGAAGATTCACAAGGACGAAACATCACCGTTAATACCGACCGCTATGTTGCGATGTTAGAGGAATATTTGACTCCAGAACTTGCGATATCGAGAATAGCGAATACGAGGACTTGGTTCCAACAAGACGGAGCGACCTGTCACACATCAAATGACTCTATGGTGGTTGTGAGACGACAGATGTTTCCTGCAAGACTAATTTCCAAAAGAGGTGATATCCCTTGGCCCCCACGTAGCCCTGACTTGACGCCTCCTGACTTTTTTTTGTGGGGATACCTCAAACATAACATAAAGTCTACATGACCAATCCGAGGAAATCAGTCAGCTAAAGGAAAATATCCGTGGGGAAATGGCAGCTATCACCTAAGATTTATTGACAAGAATTTTCACAAATCTGCGTTCGCGTTTAGAGGAGTGCCGTCATCGAGAGGGCCGTCATTTAGATGATGTTATTTTTAAAAAATAAACTACATTTAATTACCTAATCATCCTATATTTTATTTCAACTATACCTTTTGTATTTTTTTAGCCTATACTTAATAAATGCACGTTCTACTGCGCCACCCTGTTTAAACATTTCCATTCTGTAGTATTACTCGCAGTTGTCGATGCAAATAAGAAGTTTATTATAATAGATATTGGTTCCATGGCCAGATTTAGTGATGGTGTTATTTTTTCTGATAGTGCATTTGGGCGAAGGTTACAAAATAACGAATTAAATTTGCCTAGTGATCAGTCTTTACTAGAAGGTGGTACTGCAATACCTTACGTATTTATAGGTGACCAGGCATTTCCTTTACAAAAACATTTTATGAGACCATGCCCACAAAGCACATGTCATAACAGTAGAGAAAAAAGGAACTTTAATTACCGTCTCAGCAGAGCGCGAAATGTGGTAGAAAATGCTTTTGGTATTTTGTCAATGCGATTTCGGATATTTCGTCGGCCATTGGAGTGTAAAGTAGAATCAGTTGATTTAATAACAAAAGATGCTTGCGTGCTACACAATTATCTTTTAACTAATCAAACAATAACAGCTTTTGATGAAGCAAGTGCTGAAGACGGATCAGTTATACGATCAGTGAGACAACTACATGACAGTGTACGAGCAACAAGAGAAGCATTCCATGTAAGAGAATACTTTTGTAATTATTTTAACAATAACAATATAAATTCTGTCTCCCGGAGGGGTGAAAAGTGGTTTGCGGAAACCCGTCTGGCTACGCTGAATGTATGTGGAGGAATGAATGATAAGATGGATGAAGTATGCGAAATGATGAATGACAGAATAATAGATGTGTTATGTGTGAATGAGACAAAACGAAAGGGAAAGGATGCCACTGCACATGGCACGTATACCGCGTATTGGTCTGGTGTAGGCGAGACCGAACGGGCATGCCAGGGAGTTGGTTTCATCCTTTCAGAAAGAATGGGTCAATGTGTGAAAGAGTATGAATGTGTAAGCTCGAGACTGCTATGGATACGAATGAAAGTGGGCTTAAAGAAGTTGTTCGTGTTAGGGGTCTACGCCCCAGACATGTCTAAGCCCACTTACATCCGAGAGCAGTTTTGGGACATGGTAAGGATGGTGTTGACAAAATGTAAGGAAAATGAAAATATTATTATGTTAGGAGACTTTATGGAAGGGTTGGGGTGAAGAGGTCTGGTTATGAAAGGATATTGGGAACGTTTGGTGATGAAAGTATAAATGAGAATGGTGAAGACCTCCTCACCGTATGTGCGGAAAAGAATCTTTTTGTGACGAATACTTTTTTTCGTCATAAGAAGATTCACATGTATACATGGGAAAGAGGTGATGATAGAAGCATGATAGATTTCGTAACTGTGGATGAAAGAATGAGGAGCGCAGTCGTAGATACAAGGGTTTACCGGGGGTCCAACGTAGGGACGGATCATTACTTGGTCTTATGTCGAATTAATGGTCTTTTCAAGCGTTGGCGGCATCGGACATCTGTATCTACCACTGCGTTACAGCGTATAAGAATAGAGAAGTTACAAGATGAAGATGTGATAGAGAAGTATAAATGTAGACTGAGAGAAAATATTAGATGTTTGAATGAGTTGTGTATGAATGATTTAGACTTGAATACTGTGTGGGATAATATTAAGAAAGGTTTGGTGGATACCGCCACCGAAGTATGTGGTGTAAGTAAGAGAACAAATGAAAGGAAAAGTAATACGTTATGGTGGGATGATGAGGTACGGGTGGAAGTTGAATCAAAGAAGAAAGCATGGTTAGATTTACTAGCAACCACAGCTGGTAATTCTTCTGGTATGAATGATGAGATTGAAAGAAAAAAGGCAGAATTTAGACGTCTAAATAAGAGAGTAAAAGAAGTTGTTGAAAGGAAAAAGAAAGAAAGAACGGATAAGAATGATAGAAGGATATCTGATAATTTCCAGGCTAACATAAAAATGTTCTGGAAACTCGTAAGAACTGCCAGGGGAAATACAAAACAGCCTATAATAAATGCTATAAGAGACGAGAATGGATGTATTCTGAATGATGAAGTTTCGAATTTAAACAGATGGAAGGAATACTTTGAAAGCGTGTTTATGAGTGAAGAGTCGTATGAATTAAATGAACTAGAAATTCCGAAAGAAGTGGAAAGGGGTATGGAGATAAGTGTAGATGAAATAATGAAAGCAATGAAAAGCATGAAAGCACGTAAGGCAGCTGGATATGATAGAGTATCACTCGAGATGCTAAGGGCTGGAGAGGGAGTGGTGGCAGGCCTGCTGTACACCTTGTTTAATTTATGTTGGGAATTAAAACGGGTACCGGATGACTGGTGTAAAGCAGTTATAGTACCAATATATAAAGGAAAAGGGTCACAGCAGGACTGCAAAAACTACCGCGGTATCAGCTTGCTTAGTATTGTGGGTAAACTGTATGCTAAGGTGTTAATTGAAAGAGTTATGAAAGAAACTGATGGAAAAATTTGGGATGTGCAAGCGGGTTTTAGAAAGGGAATGGGGTGTACAGATCAAGTCTTTTCCATGCGCATGATTGTGGAGAAGTTTTTGGCCAAAAACCAGAAAATTTTTTGTGCGTTCATGGACTTGGAAAAGCCTTATGACAGAGTGGACAGGAATGTGTTATGGCAAACACTGAACTCATATGGGTTGAGCGCTGGTTTGATACAGGCATTAAGGTCTCTTTATAGGGACTCTAGTGCTTGTGTCAGGATCAATGGGGTCTACTCGGACTGGTTTGGCATCCAAAAAGGTGTCAGACAGGGCTGTGTAGCTTCCCCTTGGCTGTTCAACCTATTTATGGACCGGTGTTTGCAAACTTTGAAAGATGAAGAATGTGGGTTAAGAATGGGCGAGTTAACCGTCAAATGCCTTTTGTATGCCGATGATCAAGTCATACTTGCGTCATCGGCAGCAGAGTTGCAAATGATGGTTACATTAATGAACTGGGAATTAAAAGAAAGGGGAATGAAAGTGAACGCAAGTAAGACGAAAGTGATGGTTTTTGAAAGAGAAGAAAGCAAAACGGTATGTGAAATAAGAATAGAAGGAGAGTTAATTGAGCAAGTGGATGAGTTTGTGTATTTGGGATGTGTATTTAGCAGGGATGGTAGATATGATAAGGATATAGAACGACGAGTAAATGCAGGGAATAGAGTGAATGGGGCACTACACTCTATTATGAAGAACCAGAATGTGTCAAAACAGGCACGTATGGTAATTCATAATGCTGTGTTAGTCCCTACTTTAATGTATGGTAGTGAAAGCTGGGTGTGGCAGAAGAAGCACGAAAGTAGAATAAATGCTGTAGAAATGCGGTCTTTAAGGAATATGCTAGGGTTTAATCTGAATGACAGGGTGAGAAATTGCGTGATAAGAGATAAATGTGGTATGTAAGATGATGTTGTGACCAGGATTAAGAAAGGAATGCTTCGGTGGTTTGGTCACGTAGAAAGAATGAATGAGGAAAGAGTGACAAAGCAAATTTATATGGCAGATGTGAATGGCCGAGTCGGGAAGGGACGCCCTAGAAATACGTTTATCGACCAAATTGGCGATATTTTGAAAATGGGCCACGTTAGAAGTACCCTTAACCGACGAGCATGTATGCGTAGATATATGGATGTAAAGGAGGCGGAAGAGGTATGTCAGGATCGTGCCAAATGGAAGTCCGTAGTCTCTGCCTACCCCTCTGGGTGACAGGCGTGAGTGTTTATGTATGTAACAATATAAATTAAACTTACTGTCTGATATGTTCGGGTTTTTCATTTCATCCACTATCCTCTTCCATAAACCGTCTTTTTTATTTGTGTCACAGTAGTCTTTATCTTCTGGATTATATAACGCAGGATACTGCTTGACGTATTTAATAAACACCTCCATGCTGCTAAATACGTGTTTTGCCAACCCCGCACGAACGCTCACTGTACAAACACGTTCGAACAACACTGTCAACCGGCGTCAGAGGGGTAAGGCAAGGGGGTGTGAGGCGCTTTGTTTAGCTCAGTTAATTACGGATCGGCCTAAAGCACTACATCTCCGCTTCGCGTTCGATGTGTGCAAAATTTAGTTAGTGAGCGATGACCCTATTACATTATATGTCAAAATTTAGTACATTAAAATTGCGATTAGCAATGATAAAATAAATCCCTTCCGTTAGTGAATGTATGAAAATGAAGATTTGTTTTTTTTTTTATAATGCCATGAATGCTATGCCATGAAATGAACATGAAAATTATTTCGAGTTCCAGGAAAATGGGTGACAAGGGAGCCGAGGCGAATTCCCGACGCGATCATAGTTCGTGTCGCACCAATGACCCACAGAGATTATATAGTGAGACATCCCAAGGCCGAGTTCGATATATGCGAGGGATCGACAGACACAGTCGTAGGCGCAGCCACAGTGATTGTGGTGAGCGTCGGCTTCGATTGCGGCGGTCTCGAGGATGCAGTTCAGAGCGCGATCAACGCCGCAGTGTTGCACACGATCATCGTAGAATCTCTCGTCGAAGTCGAATTGCAAACAGCACGCGTACGCTGCGCGAACGGGAACGCAAGCTGTCACGAGAGAGGGAGAAGTTAAGGGCATTTTAAAAAGGGGTATGTAAAGAGCGTAAGAGATTGAATGAAAGAAACAGATCATCGCGGCGGGTTGAGACGCCTGACCCCACTTCAACTACCGTTCTGGATCAACACCGGCAAAAGATATGTATCTAGTGATAACAGTGATAACGTCAATAACATAAAAAACCTAAACTTGTTACTATGGATGTGTTTGAGGACTGTATAAAATTATTTAAATCAATATCAGGGGATCGTGAGTCGTTTTCTAGCTCTACTTTAAGTAATATAATTCCCGAGTTTGATCCCATGTCAAAAGAACAATCAATAATTGGCTTGACAAGGTAGACGAATGTGCTGAAATTTATGATTGGGGTGACAAGCAAAGGATTCACTATGCTCTGCCTAAACTCACTGGCCTAGCTAAGATGTGGAACCAGGGCTTACCCTCTATCAAGAATACTTGGCCGGAATGGAAGACTATGTTAAAAGAATCATTTCCTTCTACCGAAAATTACGCGGAACTAATGACGAATATGCTTGATAGACGGGTACGTTCTGGAGAGTCTTTCGAAATTAACTATTTTGCAAAATTTAATTTACTAAACAGATGTAAGATCTTTGGAAGGCAGGCAGTGGATTGTTTACTCTATGGGATTGATGATAGGGGGGTTCGTGTAGGTGCTTAAGCAGCAAAGTTTTCTAAGCCTGAAGACGTACTTGAATTCTTTAAAACTATCAACTATCAGCATCGAAATCAACCAGACTCGTATAAAGATTTCAATAGGGACAAACGTACTAGCGTTACTAAAAGTAATAGCAACTCTAGAAGAAACTCTGATAGTACATCCTCTAGAAAAAACAGCGGTACTAGAGGCCCTGTTACCTGTTTTAACTGCCAAGGTGTCGGTCTACCAAGTTTCAAGTGTCCCAAGCCGATAATAAAATGCAATAATTGTTATTTCCTAGGAAATGATAGCTCTCACTGTCCTAAACTGAAGGATCAAAAGAATCCCTCAAACGATAAAAGCGTTCTCGAGGTCTCAGTCGTCGAAAATAGTAATAATGAGT